GAGAGAGAGAGAGAGAGAGAGAGAGAGAGAGAGAGAGAGAGAAAAGAGGTCCAGAAAAGAACCTGGTGAAGGCCCATTTCCAGGGTGCAGATAAGAAGCATTATGGCAGAGACAGAAGGGAAGTTGTCAGAGCAGTGGCAAATAGAACGCCAAAGACAGCACATAGGCATTCAGTAGATATGAGCGACTAGTAAACTAATAAATGAAAGGACAAATAAAAAGTCCCCATATCTTTATTGGTGCTGTTGCCTTTGTCCAGCACATCCTTCACCCAGATTCTTTGCATAGCATCTATTTGTCGTCTCTAGAAGCCTCCTCTAATCCTGTAATCCTCCAAATCTGAGTGAAGTACTTGTCTTACATGGTTTTATAACACCTATGCTTCACAAAGTGTACTGATCACTGGGATGCTCTTCCCTACCTGTTTGTCTATCCCATTAGCTTGGAAGCAAATTGAGTATAGGGATTATGTCTTTTTTTTTTTTTTTAATTCTGTATCTTCCTCTCCTTTCCAAGTCTGTGCTGATGCTCAATACAAGTTTGTTAGATGGGTGGATGGATGCATGCATACATGGATGGATGCATGAATAGATGGGTGAGTAGATGGTGGTCGGATAGGTACATAAACAGGTAGACAGATGAATGATGAGTGAGTAAATGGGTGGGTAAATGGATAATAGATAAACATGGAGGTAGATACAGAACACTCACCTTGGGACCAACTTCTTCAGATGACTACACAGAGACTGAATATACCAGCTGCCATCTCTTATATGCCGAAAGGACATATAGCCTGGGACGGTGGCCAGACCAAGCAAGAAGTCAGCCTCAGTGGGAACACTATCCATAAGGGAAAGATGCTTAGAATTCTGAGCATCTGCTTCAGTTAACACAGAAGTTTGTACCTCTGATCCTTGACAGGCCTGAATAAAAAAGAGTTTTGGTTTGTGAGCCAGCCCAGGGCACTGCTGGGCTGTGAAGTGATACATGATACTCCGAATAGGAATTAGGACTCCATCTGAAGAGTAGACTGCTCCAAATTCCCCATGGGTCAGAATGCAGAACACAAAGCAGTCCCCATCAGCATGGCCTGGATGACTCTTATACTCCTGCAGAATCTTGTCCATGACTCCTTTAGTCACATCATCATATTTGTGTGCTGTGAACCCAAGCCACTCAAACACAAGCTTTAGACACTCTGAGACCAAAAAGAAAAAGAGAAAAAAGGAGAGAAAGAGGTAATACTGAAATGAAGTAAAGCAAAATGAAATAGAGTAAAACAATAATAATAGTTTTTAAAAATCACATAGCTCTGCTTAGCATCACAAGGCCCTGAGTTCAAACCCCAGGCTTGAAAATTAAAAAATAAAATAAAATAAAAGCACATACATCAAAAAGTCTAAAGCCCTGATTTTTTTTTAACTTTTGTAACAATAACAACTTAAAATTACCTTGCCTTCTCAAAGGACCCACAGTGTCACAATAGTCCTGAGGGTCAGCAGTGACCAGTGTTTTATTCAATTTCCCAGTCTAGAAGCTGAGGCTAAGGCCCTATGACTCTTCCAGGGTCACAAACCTAATGAGAGATGGAGCCAGAGCTCAAATCCCAGATTTTTGGGTGCACCAGGCCCTCCCCCAAACTACAAATAGTCAGGGATTCCTGCTACTTGGGATGCACAAGAGCTTCAGAAACATTTAGTTATCATCTTTAAATTTCTGTGGAAGACAAAGTTTAATGAAAGAAAATATGAAAATGAAAAAGGATTTTAAGATTCCCAACTAGCATTTGATACACTATTCCATGCTTACCAGCATCTCTATGGGTTCCTGGTCTATCTTTCAGGGAGGTAAAGCTGTGATTGTTGATAATGATACAGTGGCCTCTGTGTTTCCGATCCATCCTGTACATAATTGTCTCCTTAAGGAAGAAGAGATAGAACCCCTTAGTTGGGACCATCATGTTAGGAGGCTTAATATTTCTATGGAGCTACTTCAGCAGATCCATATGAGGAAAAGCAGGATGTATCTCTTAATGCCAGTTTTTTTTTAAAACCATTTTTTTACACTTTAGTCTAAACTCCTTAGGCTGGGGGTGTATCTCAGTGGTAAAGGACTTGTTTAGCATACACAAGGCCCTAGGTTCAGTCCCCAGCACACATACACACAAAAAAAATTTTTTTTCAAAAAAAAAAAGTATATAAAATGGGGCTGGGGATGTAGCTCAGTCGAGTCAGCACTAATCCCTAGCACTGCAAATCCCCAGCACTGCAAAAAAAAAAAAACAAACAACAACAAAAAACTTATAGTATGGAATATGCCAGATAATTACTAAAGTTACACACAGAAAGACCAGAGATTCTGACCACTTTGCACTTAATTTTGCTGCTGAGTTATGATTTGAATACAATTTCAAATGTTCTTTTAAAGTTCCAGAGTCCAGGATAAAGGATACTGTCACTTGCATTAAAGATCAGCCACCTCCTTTCTTTCAGGATCCCACTCCTAGTACCAGAAGCTGAGCTTTCTCAAGGTCCTGACCCTGGTTTGAAATTAACCAATTAATTCTACAGTTAAATGCCAGGTCCTAACTAAAACTCAAGATTCCCACTAGAATCTCAATTTCCAGGGTTAAAAAACAAAACATGTATTTTAACACCGGCAAACTCAGGAGATATATATATATATATATATATATATATATATATATATATAATCTTCCTTTTTAGATTAGAAATGTGAAGAAAAAATAAGCAAGGATTTAACAAGGCAACAAAAATATCAAGTGATGTATATATATTTTTTGAATGGTCAGCTTCTGGAGTGATTGATACCTCTGAAAGCTGAAGAATCTCTTTTGTAACTTTATTTCTCAATATAAGTCACAGTAGGAATTTTAAAATTCATGCAATTATTTTTGAAGGCTAATGTAAACATTTTGCAATTACAGATTAACAACTTTGGCTTTGGCTGGGTCTCTGTGGAACTAAAATGATTTGAAATCCTGGTATATTTTTGATCCAACCCAGAAAAAAAGTGGCTTCACTTGATTTCAAAAAAAAAAAAGAAAAAAAGAAAGAAAGAAAGAAAAAAGAAAAGAAAAAAGAAATGTCCTCCCAAGAGTATACATTCCTCAAAGTGCAAAGCAATGTCAAGGCCTTCACAGGCAAAGGTCACACACTTCTGATTGTCACAGGAAGAGATGGGAAGATCAAAGAGGAAGGAAGAACCAAGGCAAAAACTCCTCTGAGCCCTCTCAGCTCAGGTGAGAGCCCTGAATAAACTCTCCAGACCTTTGTCCAGATTTCAGAACCCAGGGTGTTAGCAGATGCTCCTACCATCTCCATGGACACAGGGATTAGTGCACCATTTGTGGCTCCATTGCCTAGAAAGAAAAGTACCCAGACCCCTCAAATATCTTTCTCTAAGCATTTAGATTTCCTTGCTAATAAATTTCTGACATAGCATTCAATTCTGGAGAATTGTTATAGTTTCAAGAAACTCCCAAGATATAAATTTGGCCTGCATGCCCTTGCTGATAGGAAAGACAAATGTCCTCATATTGCTATTTGCTCTGTTCGGGTTGAAAATTGCGCTGCTGGCAGAGGATGAATTGGGGAATTAAGAACATGTGGATCAGCTCAAGGGTTCCTGGTAGAAAGCACAGCTGGGTTGTCAGCATCTCTCTGTCTCTGGGAATAGAGAAGCCTGGTGGACATCAAGAAGAAAAAAGGGAGTGAGGGGAAGGTCCACAGCAATGGAATCAACTGGTGCCTTTGTCACTGGCTGAAGCTCACAATGCCTTGAAGGGTTTATGCAAACTCCATTTCCTCTGGGTAATAATCTATCTTGAGGTGGAAGTTCATGATAGGTAATTTATAGGAAAATGTAACATGCACCTGTTTTCTTCTCCCTCTCTCAGCAAGTTTGTGGTAGAACCACCAAGCTCTATCCTCATCTCTGGGGAACATCTGGTAAATCAGCTAAAGGTCAGTCTTTGGAGCTCAGCTTAGCCTGCATGAGTCCAGTATTCCACAGACCAGAGAACACACCAAAAGGACCCAAGGTGCAGTGCCCCTGTACACCTGTACATCTTCCTTACTTTGGGAGAAGATAACACTCCAGGAGAAGCCACATCTAAACCTTGGAACTGCAGAGTTATAGAACTGAAAAAAAGCTGCCTTGTTCTTCAGAGAAATGACTTGGCTGTCTAAGCTCATACATATATATACATATATATAGCTCTTGGAGGGAGAACTCTGCTCTCACACTGCTGGGGTCGAATCCCCGAGTCACACCTTTTTAGCAGTGGGACAGTTAGCAAAGGGATAGGCTTCATGGGTCTCAGTTTTAAATGGGTATTAAGTGGGAAAACATTAGTACCTATCTCCAAGCTATGGAAAGATTAAATGAGATGCTCCCTGGAAAGACTCTTAGGACAATGCTTGGCCTATGCCAAGTGCAAGAGTAACTCCCACCAGCACTGTCAACATCATATCAGGTTAGCCAAAAAGTGGCATGTCATGAATTCTAAAGGCTAAATTTCCTGGGGAAAAAAATGAGGAATAGACTCTGATAAACTTTACATACCATAGATGCTATGTTTGAATATGGCTCAAGTCCCCCAAGGCTCCACTGTGAGTGAAGGCTTCCCATTCCAACTAGAGAGTTGAGAGAGTTGGAATGGGAAGTGCTTTCTAGTTGGAATGGGAAGCGCTGTGGAACTTTCAGAAGGTGGGGCCTGATGGGAGGTCCTTGGGTCCTAATGGGAGCGTGGCCCTTAGAAGGCAGTTCAATTGTTATGAAAACCCAAGTTTGGTCCTACCCTGTCCTCCCTCTGTTCCTGGTTCAAGATGTAATCACTTGCTGTCTGCCATGATGTGACTTAGGCAAGAATGAGTCAGTGCCATGCCCTGGAACATCCAAAACTAAGAAATAAATAAATATCTTCATTTTTATAGATAGCATGTGTCAGATATTTCATTATAGTAAGAAAAAACAACTAATACAACAGATTTCAGGCAACTTGTAGATTCTGGAATATTCTCCTAAGGTCGTGGTTTCTGGGCAGGAATTCAGGGCACTCAAACACACCATGACTATGGTCCTTCCCTCTTGTTTCTGTACCTCTGAAAAATAGAAGGAGCATCTGGAGCCACTCTGTAAACCCAGTTTCCTCAGACTGCATATGCTCTGTTGCTGCTGGGCTGCAGGCCTCAGCCCACCAGGGGTTCCTTCCCTCCCTACAGAAAGTGACCTAATTCTGAAGGCTGGAAGGAGAGGACAGTAGCTGCCAGAATTCTGTAGCATCTGCTATGCTAGGCTGTCATTGCCATCCCCCACAGAAAAACTTGGTACAAACCATACACTGTGGCATGCCTCACATTGCAACAGGAAATGAATTCTCCACTAAGTTATCTTCAACTACTTGGTATACATCAAATATATCTACTCCCGCCATACTGATCCAAGTTGTAGAAAATACATAAGTACATTACACCTACCATGATTCATGGAGTGCTCATTTTGCCACAATCCCTCCTATTGAGGAAACAAGAGATGTATGAAATGTAGGAAGTTCACACAGGATGATGCTGAAGACACCGTCACATGAAGGAAGTGAAGAATCATATTTTAGTATACTATCTCTTCTTTAATTTAGAGACGACACAGGGTATTTCCCCCCCAAGTAATAATAGGATGAATAAACAAATAAATGTTAATAAAGATGGTAATTGAATGGGAAGGGAAGAGAGGCAGGGAAGCAGTGTGGACTTCTGAGTGTGCTCTACAGGTTTTACTTTAGATCTACCTTGATACTGCTTTGTTTTATTTTGTTTTGTTTGGGCCAGCACTAGGCATTGAACCCAGCAGTGCTCTGCCACTGAGCTACATCCATAGTCCTTTTACAATTTTTTAAAATTTTGAAACAGGGTCTCGCTAAATTGCCTAGGCTGGCCTAGAACTCGCAATCCTCCAGCCTCAACCTCTCGAGTAGCTGGGACTACAGGTAAGTGTCACCATGCCTGGCTTAATGTTTCATATGTTAAAATACAAACTTAAAACAAACTGGAGGGCCCATCTTTTCTGCATCTCCCTCCTCGCCCACTACCTCCCCCCATCCTCAGTGTCCAGGAGACAGCTCCAAAGGGGACTTCACCAAGGTATTGGGAAAGGAGTAACCCTGTAATGGGCCGCAACAGGACTTACTGGTGCTGCCCATCACAGGGGTGACAACCAGCAAGTCGCCCTAGGTCACAGATATGCATCCCTGCTGAAAGCCACAGGGAAGTGACTTTTGTTTAAGCCAGATCCATGCTGCTGGACCTCAGTCCCAGGGCTGCACAATACTGGAATTTCCCGTCTCTGGGTGATCAAATACAAAGGAGTTCCAGTTTCACTTTTCAAAAGACTTCCTGCCTTTCTCTTCACACCCCACATTTTCCTGCCTGAAGTATCCTGGATTTCTTCTTGGTGGCATCCAAAGCCGGGCCAGGCTGCTTTCTGGTTTTGTCCAGAAACTGAGCGAATCTTCTGGGATCAAGGGAATGGCAGAAGCAGTGGCAGGCTCTGTCCAGCAGCTCCAGACTGGGCTTTCCTTGATTTGTCTCTTCAGGCAGAAGAGGGACTAGGTCAAATCTTTATGTCTATCTACTTCTTTGCCTGAGAATATCACATCCTCTGTTAACACCACCCACATCTTTGTGTCAAAGAGTGAGCGAATGACCACCATCTGGCCACATTCAGCCTTCTTTCGACTGTTTTCAAGAGGAGTCTAGTAACCTCTCAGAAAGAAGCAGTTGTCACATCTCAATAGAAAGGCATGCCTCTCTTTCAGAAAATCTCACAATCAAAAAGACTTAGGTGGTTTTTTTTAATTGTTGATGGACCTTTATTTATCAATTTATTTTTACGTGGTGCTGAGAATCAAACCCAGTGCCTCACACATACTAGGCAAGTGCTTTGACACTGAGCCACAGCCCTAGCCCCAAGACTTAGTTTTTAAACAAATTAGGGGACGTAGCTTGAAATGCAAAGGCTTTTTCCTCTTAAATTTAATTTTTAGCAGTGTTCTTTTCACAAGATAACCTTCAGGTGCGTATGAAACATGAAATGATTTTCCATGGAAAAAGGCAGGATTGCCTACGTAACTTTTAAGACACCTTCCTGCTCTGAGAGTCTGACAATATATGTAATGTGAGGTGCTGCCCCACCCCCTCAGCCCTATGCACTCCCAATACCACCACAACTACCCCACCCTCATGTGGCCATGACCAGAATCATCCCACATCTGCTTCAGAGACCAATGCCAAGCCATACCCCTTTAGAGAACAATGAATTCTAAAAGGTAAAGAGTAAAATCCTGTGTGTGTGCACATCTGTGTATCATCTACATGCATGTGAAGCCTTTGGGTACAACACTGGTTGAAAAAGTAGGTGAGGGGAATTAAGTTTAGCAGGCAATTTAACTTAGAATTAGGGAATCCTAAAATGTCAGTGCTGGAAAATTACATTTTTAAAAAACTTCTATATGTATGTAGGGTGGTGAGGGTGGTCTGCAATTACCTGCTCAAAGCTATGACAGGCATTTGATAAATGTTGGTCTAATTTGATTACTATAAAAGAATAGAGGTAGGTGCTGTGGTTGTGGCTCAGTGCTAGAGCACTTGCCTAGCATGCATGAGGCACTGGGTTCAATTCCCGGAACCATATAAAAATAGAAACAAACAAAATAAAGGTATAAAAAAAAATAAAAGGGAGCCACTCTTCCTCAATTCCTCTTCCAATTAGATGTCTAACTGCTTTTCTAGGATAAGAATTCATTGAGTCAAGGGTTGTTTTCCTAGAAAAAAGAAGTCAGTGTAGGGTTTTAGAATAATTGCAATTTTGTCCAATTTGGGAGAGGAGAGAGGGAACCTAGATTAACAAATAAAAAATGAATCACTTTCAAAGTGCCCTCCCAACACAGAAGATTCCTTCAAATGCTTAACTACCCCCACCTGCAACGTGGTGGTTCAGAGCAGGACCTCAGACCTCCAGCCAGGCTCTGGGTCAAGCTCTGGCTGCCCGTGAAGACTATAGGATGTCTTTGCCCAGCCTTTGCAGCCATAGGCCATTGAATGTTTGAGACCCTCAGTAGTAGAGTGCCCCTGGCTTCAATCCCCAGTGTTGGCAAAAACAAAAACCTATTTATACAGCATTTATATTATATAAGGTATTGCAAGTAATCTAGATGATATAAAGTACAGGGGAGGATATGCATAGGTTATATGCAAATACTAAGCCATTTTATATAAGGGAATTGAGCATCCACAGATTTGAGTATCTTTGGGGAGTTTGGGAACAAATTCCCCATGGATAATAAGGGACAACTATACAAAAAGTAAACTACATACTATAGAAATCAGACATCTTGACCAAGTAATCAAAATCAGCATCACCAATGGAGGGCAGGATGGATATCATGTACCTCTAGACAGGATGCCCTGAGAAAGACACCATATCACTTAATGATGTTGTGACCAGAATATATAACTTGAATCTAATCAAGAGGAAACACCACATGCACCAAAAATAGAAAAACTCTATTAATTTTTATAAAAGGTGGGAGGGATGACTACATAGTTCAAAAGTCATAAAAGAGAAAGGAAAGTTGTGGAGATGTTCAAGATTAAAGGAAAGTATAGGGACATGACAACTAAATACAATACTGTATTATATTTATATGATCTTAGATTGAAATTTTTATATCATGTATATATATATAGATAGATAGATAGATACTAGAAACAATTCAATAACAAGTCATATTTAAATTTTATAAGAAACACACAAACATTAAAACACTGGTTACAGAAAACAGAATAGGATGAAAAACTATAAGGTATGATTTTTTTTAAAGAGAGAGAGAGAATTTTAATATTTATATTTTAGTTTTCGGCGGACACAACATCTTTTTTTTTTTGCATGTGGTGCTAAGGATCGAACCCAGCGCCGAACGTGTGCCAGGCGAGCGCTACCATTTGAGCCACATCCCCAGCCCAAAGCTATGATTTTCCTTTTCATTAAAGACCAGCACCCTTTGAGAATAATCAAGTCAATTAGCAATACTCATCTGTACTGCAATATAATATATCCAAAGGAAAGGTAGTAATTGTACTGATTTTATTATTTTTATAAGCCATTTTTGTCTTTCTCCCACTCAATGCAAAGAAACAAAATATTATTTTTTTTAAAAAAGTCACTATTATGTACCCAAAACAAAGGGTCTGTTGCATCTTTTGATACTGGGCAAGTTCCCCTACATGAATCACTTTAGGTCATCCACCATGATGAACCCCTTTCTCTCATAGGATCAGTCTTCATGCCTAGATTTCTGGGCTGCCCAATTTTCTTCACTGCACTCCAGTGACAGTTTCAAAAAACAGGTTCCTCTGCAAGTCCCCTAGATTTAATTTTGCACTGGCAGAGTAAAAAACTATCAAGGACACTATTGGGTCAACAGCCAAAATTGAAATATGAACCGTCAATATGACAACAATATTGTATTAATTTAACATTTTGGCACTGATAACTGTAGTATAGTTCTACAAAAGAATATTCTTATTCTTAGGCAATACATACTGAAGCAATTAGGGATCAAGGGTCTTGATATATACAGCTTGCTTTCAAAAAGCTCAGAAAAAATTATGTAAGCATGGAGAAAGAACACAAAAATGATAAAGCAAGCAGCATACAAGTACTCTCTGGGTTATTTACATTCTTGCAACATTTCTGTAAGATTGAATATATTTCTAAATTTTAATGTTGTACCTATCAAAATACAAGATCATGAAAGTAGTAAAGAAGCCATAAAACATTTTTTTTCAGGACTAGGGATTGAACCCAGGGCAAGCACTCTACCACTGAGCTATACACACAGCCCCCCATGAAAGGAAATTTTAAGAATAAAAAATAAAACTCCCACAAATGACCCAATTAGGAAATGGGCAGAAAATCAAATAGACAAAGAAGGTACACATATGGCCAATAAGCAGATGCAAATTAGCTCAACATCATTACTTGTTAAGGAAATGCAAATCAAAGCCACATTGAGACTCACATTTATGAGGAGGACTATTATGAAAGAAAGAAAGAGAAAATAACAAGTATTGATGAAGATGTGGAAAAATTAGAACACTTATGCATGGCTGGTGGAAATATAAAATGGTACTTCCACTGTGGAAAACTGTATGGCAGGTCCTTAAAAAGTGGATGATAGAATTATTATATGATCCAGGATTTTCACCTATGTTAATTACCCAAAATAACTTAGAGATATTTTTATACCAATGATCATAGCAGCATTATTCACAGTTGCCAAAAGGTAGAAGTTATCCAAGATCCCACTGGTAGATGAACAAAGCATAACACATTCATTAATTCCTAGATATACTACAATGTAGATGAACCTTGAAGCAAATCAAAAAAGAATATATGTTGGGGCTAGGGTGTAGCTCAGTGATAGACAACATGCTTACCATGCATAAGGCCTCTGGACTCAATCCCCAGTATGCAAAGGGGAAAAAATCTTTTTATATGAGGTATCTAGAATAATCAAATTCATAGACACAAAGTAGAAGAGTGGTTTCATGGGACAGGAGAAGGATGAAATGTGAAATTACTATTTAATGGATACAAAGTTTCAGTTAGGATTGAAAAAGTTCTGGAAATGAATGGTAGTGACACAAGCACTTAACACAGCTGTATATTTAAAAGCAGTTAAGGTAGTAAGTTTTATGTAATGTGTATCTTATGATAATTAATGTTTAAAGGTAAAATTTATGGATATATTTTACCACAATTGAAAAAAAAGAAAAAAAAATTTACAAGGCCAAGATCATTTCACTAATTTTGACAGATATCGATAAAGAAGAACTACCCAAGCATGTTGGAAAGAAAAGAACTTAGTAAAGACTCAGAGTTCCCAAGGTTCACTGTCACATTGTGAGCAACATTGAAGATTCTCCCAAGATTGCTCTCCAGTCTTCGACAGCTGAGCACTATAGAAACCAGGAACCTAGTTCTCAACATTCTGGGGTGAACCAGCTTTATAATTTACAGAGTCCTTTATTCATACATTATTAAGAATGTCACAACAGTGACAGAAGACTATTAAAACCAAGGAAGAGGGTCCTGTGAAACTCCATGGCTTGTATACCCATGAAGCCAGACTGATCTCATCCTACAGATAAGAACAGAGGCACTATTTTAAAGCAACCCAAGGGAGTGCTGTGGTAGCTCAGGCCAACTACTGAGAGCTAATTGTCAAATTTTCAGGAAATCTGCAACCTGGTCGATGTCATGTTGATCATTTGAAATCAGCCATGGTGGGAATATTTACAAATGCTACCTATCAGGATCCATCCCTCCCTGCTCTCTCTCTCCCTGGAGACTGGAGGTGGAAGTAGACAGCTCGTAAACACTGGCCTGAACAACACTCAACTTACTGTTAAGGCTCCGTGGAACCGCTTAATGTCTGATGGAGTAAATATTTCTTCCTGTCCTTGAGGCAATGATTCAGTTTCTTTGTCCACGGGAGGTGTCACTTCCTGGGCAGCTGTAAATAAAACCACAGGCAGAAAACAAAAAACAAAAAACAAAAAACAATTCACCGTCTAACTAATACTAATCCAAGACAATCAATCATCAAAAGTTACTATTTTTAAAGAGATTTTTAAATTTGCAATGGCATTTCTTATGGAAGTCTACATAAATACTCAGAAAAAAAATGTGAATTTATAATTATTTTTATTGTTGTTATATTTTTATTTTTTGTATTTCATATATTCTTTCTTATTATTCCTATTATTTTTATAATTTTATTAACTCCTTAAAACTACCATATATTTTACCAAATAACATTTCATAACTTATGGTACTTAATGTTTCAGATAGTTGAAAAGATTCCAAAAGGATTTCCTCAAAAAATAATATCAGAAGTCAGGCTACAAGAATAAAAAGAAAGAAAAAAAAAAGACAAAAGAAAAAACATTCAGAAGTGGTAGTTAAATGTACATATCCATAAAAAGGATTTATTTGAAATGATTAATAAGAATAAGCTAACTATATCTGTATTATATTCATGGAAAATGTCAGGCATATTGGGTGGGGAAAAAGCAAGTTACAAAATATAATTAGCATGGTCCTGTTTACACATACATCACACACACACTCACAGTTGTTTCTATACAGAAGAAAATCTACAAGAATATATTCTTTTTTTAAGTTATTTTTTTTAATATTTATTTTTTTAGTTGTAGTTGAACACAACACCTTTATTTCACTTGTTTATTTTTGTATGTGTTTCTGAGGATCGAACCCAGAGTCTCACACGTGCGAGGCGAGCGCTCTACTGCTGAGTCACAACCCCAGCCCACAAGAATATATTCTAAACAGTGGTTATCTCTGCAGAATAGGTTGGCATTGGAAGGAAGAAGAGAAAGATTTTTATCTTCCATACTCTGTATTATTTTCATTATTTGAATTTTTATTTAATTTCATTATAATTACATACATTATTTTTAATAATACATTTAAAATATTAAAGCAAACAACAAAGTTCAGGTAAACTCAGAAAGTGAGCCAGATGACCTTAAATAAAGCCAGGTCTTATCAAACAGAAGGGACTTGGACTTTAGATCACATAGAAGAGTCTGAGCTCTGCACACCCTTTCTGTTCAGCCTTTCACAGTCTTTCATCCTAAAGGCAGAATTAGGCCCAAACTCAGGATTGTAGAAAGCCAACATTAAAAGAGTAATAATACTTGCCACCCGAGCAGACCACACAGATAGGTTTAAAAAAGAAACAGGAGGGCTGGAGTTGTGGTTCAGTGGTAGAGTGCTTGCCTCAAATGTGTAAGGCACTGGGTTCGATTCTCAGCACCACATATAAATAAAAAATAAAGGTCCATCAACAACTAAAATGAATAAAATAAATACATTTTAAAAAAAGAAAGAGGAGAATCAGAACTCTTCTGATATACTCAAGACTCTCTGAGGCAGATGTAAATGCTGATCACACAGAAACCAGTGAGTCTCCTCCAGAGTTCAAATATCTACAATAACCTGATCCCCTGCCCTGTATTTCTTTGTGTGGGAAAAATGGGTGAGTAGAAAAAAAGACACATTGGAGTTCACTTGAGGATTCCAAATACTCTTTCAGTATCAACTTCCTACTTTTCATTTCCTATTTGATAATGTGACTGAAAGAACTGTTTTTATTTGTCATAATAATTTTAATTAAATTTACATTTATTTATTGTTTTAGTTATTGTTTGAGATTTTATCAATTTCACAAGAGTATATTTTGTTTCTCAACTTATTTTGTCTTCATTGAATTCTTAGAAGGAAGCTTCCTCTTGGCTAGTTTCATTTTTAAAGAAAGAATTTTGCATGCTAGATTAACTCACTGAACAAAATATGGGTATAGCAGAGAAACTTCCCAAACATAGTCATGAATTTTTATATATTGCTCTTAACAGTGGAAATAGACCCAGAGAAACTTTATGTTTATGCTAAATATTTACTATTTAGCATATTGACATTTGTCAGGTATAATTCCTGCCCTGTGTTTCCACCTTTACATAATATCAAAGAAAAACTATCTTTGTAAGACATACCAAAGCTCTTGTCTAGTGTGTGCAATGCCCTGAGTTCAAGCCTAAGCACAGTCAAAGAAAAAAAAAAAGAATGAGCTAGCTATCTCTGCCTTATATTCATTTGCCTAAAACTACTTTCCCCCACTAGAACATAAGCTCCAAAAGGGCAGGAGCTTTGCAATATACCTCCAATTTATAAAATAATGCCTGGGCTAAAGTATGCATTCAATAAATATGTACTGAACGAACAAATGAGGAGATTTCTGGCTTTCCCAAGAAAATATTACCAAAATGATAAGAAAACCTCCTACATATAAACATGGGGCAAGTAAGCAAAAATAAGCTGCTTACCTTTCTCTCTTTTATAGTTCTCTATCTTCCTTAGAAGGAAAGGTGCAACCTTTTTAAAAACTTTCTCCAGTAATATCACATTATCTTCATCTATTTCAGTGTTTTTTTCTAGGTCGGCGAATAAACTTAGAGAACTCTGCAAGAGAATCAGTAGAGTCACATTTACTTACCTTCTGATTATCATTCACTTGTTAAACACTACCTGCATGGACACTAAGCACCAGGTTTTGCAGTGATGAATATGGTATAGCATCTGCCCCCAAGGGGCTCAATTTACCAAGCAAATCTCTACTCAAGCCATGTTAATAACAGACACCAAAGACACATAACTCACTGTAAGATAGGAATAGTGCTTGTTATAGATTAGCCTAAAAACAGCCCAATGAAGTAGATACTGTTATAATCTCTATTTTAAAGATGAAATAACTGAAGTACAGAGAGGTTTAGTAATTGGCTCAAGGTCACAAAGCCAACAAGTGGCAGATCTGGTGCAATCTAATGTCAAAGTCTGTTTTATTGGCCAATGAACTATACTGCCTCTAACTCACAGCCATAAACGATATCATTGATTGGGGAACCAGAAAAACAGGGACACCAAAGAAATGAGGGGGAAAATGGGAAGAACATCACATTTGGTATTTTAGAAGAAAATATCTATGATGTTATCCTGTGTGTGGGGGGGGATGGAATCACAAATTGGCTAATATGATTTTAATATAGATTTACATATGTGGTGGAAGGTACCATAGACCTTTCAGAGATTAGAACTTAATGTATTGATCAGGTTATTGCAAATATGAACAAAATTATATCAGAGGCCACAGAAAAGAGCAATCAGAAAGAGAACATCTGAACGCCATCTAACTGCACACGTATGCATTGGCCAGGTGGGAACAGGTAAGGGAGAGTCCAGTCTCTGTTAAACAGTTTGAAGTTTGAAAAATGCCTATGTCCTTGGGAACCTTGGAAAGAGGCTGGAGTACAAACCCCAATGAGCCTTAGGCCATGGCTGACACGGCAGGCTGGTGTCAGGCCATGGGGAACACACACACCACAGGAGGAACTGGGGCAGGAGTCCCATGGGTCAAGGGCTGCCAGCAGTGATCATTAAAGAGAACAGGGACATGATCAGATTTGTCTTCCAATGGAAATTTTGGAAGTAGATTGAAGTCAGAAATGGATTGAGAAAATATTGGCTGGAAGATTAAATAACCTGGTGAAGATGATCAAGACCTGGTCTAGGACTAGTGATGGAAAAGCAGAGGAGACACTGGACATCTCTGAAGCATAATTTGGTGGGCTTTAGGGATCACTTGGAACTGGGTGAAGAAATGAGGGAAGAGTCCAAGATGTCTTCCAGTGGTGACAATATTCATTTATTCCTCATTCATCCATCCCGCATACCAGCCTCCATATAAGTTGCACATGGGCATCGAGGCTTGAACTGCATGAAGGATGACAAGGCCCTACTGACAAGGTGGAAAAGGATATGCCATGCAAATACAACCAAACTGGAAATTGGTTATTAGGAGGTACTTGGTGGTTTCAGCAAGAAAAGTTTCATTGGCACGATACAGGTGGAAGCCATTCTGGAATACATTGGAAAATGCCTAAGAGTTGAGTTAGTGGAGAGAAGAGTATGTGTAGACTACTTTTTCAAGAAGGTTAGCAGTAAAGGTAAAGAGGAAGCTATAGCAGCAACATGTAAAGAGACAGGGTTAATAAAAGTCGCGTGTGTGTGTGTGTGTGTGTGTGTGTGTGTGTATGTGTTCCAACATGGCACTCAAATCACAATCCAGGCAAAAGGCCAGAGTTTCAAAGTCTTAATTGGTTTCTGTCTGCATCTGGTTAAAAAAAAAAAAAATGAATTTTCGAGAAATTCCAGAAGCAGGATGACCGGAAAGGCAAAGATGTGTCACTCCACAGTATACAGCTGGTCAAGGAGCAAAGTAGAAGAGAGGTGTGGAGGAAGAATCTTCCCGAGTTAATCAGCCGGGCACAAAGGTCAGAAGGAACTCCCCCACCACCCTTGCACCATGTCCCGCAGCAAATAATACACAGGTGAGCTTTCTGGGAACCTTGAAACCAAACTCCATGTCTTGACAGCAGCCTACCAGGAGGAAAAAAAAGGAATTAAGACATGATCCCCAAAAACAACGATGGAAATCTTATATTGTATAAGAACACACACACAAAAACACACAATTAAAATGAAGCCCATACATGGGTTTAAAAACACCACCCTGGCAAATACTAGCAGGACATTCCAAAAGTTCTTTATTTTGATTCTTCACTAAAGAGCCAATAGGTTTGGGTGTAGTTTCCTGTACATCAGCCATCTACGCTGAGAGCTGTGCTGAGGATGCAGTTCTAGACAGTTGTTCAGGTCTCACAGGAAGTGTGCAGGCAACTATACTGCCTAATTGTGTAAGAGAGCTATCAAAGAGGAATCCCAGAATACCCTATAGAGGTCATATACCCCCCCTTTTTTTAAGAGAGAGAGAGAGAATTTTTTAATATTTATTTTTTAGTTTTCTGCGGGCACAACATCTTTGTTTGTATGTGGTGCTGAGGATCGAACCTGGGCTGCACGCATGCCAGGCGAGCGCGCTACGGCTTGAGCCACATCCCCAGCCCAAGGTCATATACCCTTTTGATTGAGCCCAGTGGTACTCATCTGTAATCCCAGCTCCTTGAGAGGCTGAGGCAGGAAGACTGACTTTGAACCCAACCTGGGCATCAGAAAGACATTGTCTCAAAGAAACAACAATAATAAAAAGTCAGTTTTGTCCCCATGGAAAGGCCATAAGAATTTATGGCCCCTCCTTTTGGTTGAGGGGTATCCAGGTCCTCCTCCAATGGCTATAAGTAAGTTATTTCTTCTTTGATAATTCTTTTGCAGTTGCAATAGTAGATAATGCAGCCTCTTTAATCCCTGGTAAGAAACTCCTCTGAGATACTTAGAAATTGTCCTCCACATACTTCAGAGTCTGGCCTGATTGCAAAGTCCAGGAGAGACAAACCCCAATTATCAAATCATGACTCAGCCACGAGTATATCATGAAGAATTTGACTTCCTTAATGTTGGACTGAGAAAAACATATCAAAAGAAAAAACAAATCATCTGGCTGCTTGAGCATGGGCTTTTGTTGATTGACAAGCTAATTTAGCAGGAGGAGGAATGTTTGGAAGGCTTGCTCATAAAAATGATCCTGTGTACACTCAAAACACAAACAGTGATCTAGGATCTGTGCAACCAAAAGAGAAAGAACACTCTCCCCAGCTGTTCTGGGTGTAAAAGCTCTGCAGTGTGGAGCATTGCAGGGACTCCTTCAACAAGTGCTTTTTCCCCCACCTCTCACTCCCCACCTCAGGTTGCAAGGACTTCTGTCCAGGACGGAGGGAGGGCTGGAATAATGAAAGAGGTCTCATTTTATTTATAAATCCAGACACTGGAAAAATTGTAGGAAGATGTCCCAGGTTGGGAGAGAATGTTATTAGAAGCACAGGGAGAGCTTTTTAAACTGCAGGCATGTCCAATGTTGAGAATTTAAGCATTTAAAGAAAAATGCTATCAGTTCAGCAGGCAGTCAGGTTGCATCACTGCAAACATGAGCACTGAAACACTAGGCAGAAGCAGAGAACACCTTGGTGCTTTATAAAAATTATCTGAAATCAAATGCTTGATTTTTTTATTTGTCTAAGAGCTCACCCCCCCCTTCTCTATGTGCACATACACACACACACACACACAATGTTTATAGAACAAGGTCTAAATTAGGACTAAAAGGGGGAAGGGGAGTATAGCATAGAATGGCTGTATGCTCTGACATAGGGAGAGGATGGATATAACATGAGCAAATAATTTTCCAACTATGTGAACAATCATATTGGTAAAAGAGGTAGGAATATATATTCTGAGACTGTGGTATGTGTCATATGAAATAAAACAAAAACAAAGATTGTCTAACATTGTAATTCTATCATCCCCTTGAAATAAGAACCAGGATTCTCAGTGTGAAAAATAGGAGATGCAGGTATAATATAGAAATGATTAAATAAAAATCTAATGGATATTAGTTTGAACTGAAAATATAAGTGGAAGTTATGAGATATTTTGTATTTTAAAAATTGTTCTCTCTCTCTCTCTCTCTCTCTCTCTCTCTCACACACACACACACACACACACACACACACACACACATATACAGTTTCCTAGCTCTATCCTTTGGGAAAAACAATTAGGAATAATTATCATCCCAGAATCAATGAATATCCCCAGTACCTAATTTGCAGTCTTGAAATAACACTTCTCATTATAAGAAAACACTGCTTTATAATATAAAGAAGGGATGGATTCTAGGACTGAGCAGAATGTTTACAAAGTGAACCTGGGACATCTTTGCCAGATAACAAAGAAGTCTTTAAATACTATGACTGAAGAACCAATTCAAAGAGTCTCCCAGTGATCAAAAGAGAAACAATTTGAACCTCAATAAGGATAATTATTGCAATGGATTGAAATACCTCAAATATACATAAATCCACGAGTTCACCTTTATATATGTTTTTATAATGGGCCATCTTCAAAAACTTCAGGAAACCTATTAATTATCTAGAAAACTACACAAATAAAAAAATAATCAAAGATTTATATGTAAACTGTGTCACTAGGTAACCAAGTAATAGATGAGGAGAAAACAAAATAATAGAATTTTAATATCTCTATTTTGCAACCTCCAAAGAATCAATCTATAAAACCGTTGAAACCCAACAATTGCTATATATTTAAAAGAGGAAAAAAAAACCAGAAATGGTTTTCTATGAAAGATCATAAAACCACCTACAGTCTTTCCAAAAGTCTGATGGAGCCTCAGAATGCAGCTGCCAGGTTGTGAGAAATGCAGAGGACAGAGGAACAAGCTGACCTACACCAGGAGAGCAGCATCAGAAAAGCTCAGACACTGCCCTAGGGCTCTTCAACAGGAAAGGGCTGAGAAAAATAAAGAGAGGAGGGGAGGGCCATACAGCTCCTGGTCGGGGCACTTGCCTGGCATGGGCAAGGTCCTGGGTTCAAACCCAGGTACTGGAGGGGAAAAAAGAGAAAAGAAAGAAAAGAAAGCAACTGGGGGAATGGAACTTAACCTACAGATTCAAAAACTCTTGAAAGAAGAAAAACCGAAGAAGACTAAACAAGAGATGTAGGGACTCCCAGTTAAGTGAAAAAGTCATCAAGAAACATAACAATGCAGTTCTAAAAAGTCAGGACAGTGGTTACCTCTAAGGGCCAAGAAGGAACCTGACTGGGACAGGGCAAATGGAGCAATTTCCAGAGTAGATGGGAATTTTTAATATTTTTTTCCCTGCATTTCTTTTTTTAAGTTCTTGTCTATTCACTTATTTTGAAAGCACCCAGATCAGGAGCACATACAGCAAGTTCAGATGACACATTGTACAATATGATTTTGCTAAAATGCAAAATGCGGTTTCTTGACCTAGGTGGTGGTTTCAAGGGTATTAGCCTTATAATAGTGCATTACTCTGTATGTTTTGTGTCATTTTCTATACCTGTGTTCTGTTGGTTGTTTGGTTGTTTTTTTTTTTTTAACCATAAAAAGGCAAAAGAAAAAAATGTGTAAAAAACAAAACCAGAAACGTATAAGATGAAAAACACAGGACTTCAAGGACCATCTAAGGGAGAAAACTAGTAGATTCTGACAAGAGCAACAACTATGAAAATGTTATATCTTTGCACATCACCTTCCCAGTTCTTTAGTTTCTCCTGTTACCTCTCCTAGTTATTACTGCAAAAATCTCATAAAAGGAAAAGGCTCAGGGAATGGACATGTAGCTCAGTAGGACAGCACTCGCCTAGCATATGCAAGGTCCTGGGTTTGATCCCCAGCACTACAAAAATTCTATAAAAGGGTTCAGGTAGCTTTCTCAAACAGAAAGAGAAGATAGAGGATGGCGTCGTCATTACCCCATTTTGTAACAGATTCCACAAGTCAGAGCTAAAATATGAATTAGACTCAGTCCCCACCCTTAAGGCACGCACAGCCAATCCTTGGAAGCAAGAAACACAAAAGGGAGAGTAGAGAGTGACCAACAGAAGAATTCAAAAGGCTGAAAATGACTCAAAGGTTATGGTCAGAAGAGACTGAACCCGTTCAGTCTCAGACATGATTCCAGGAAATTTGTCTAATGAATTACGTAGTACTCATTTGACCCATCACATAAAACTGCTTCCCACTCCCCAGTGACTTTCTCATGTTATTTCTCAATAACATGAGTTGACCCAGGTTGATGCTTCCATTTGGAATCTGGATGGTGGATCCATGACTGTTCACTTCATGACTACGTTTCAATACTTCTACCCATGTTACAAGTATTCTTTTGTCCTACTGAATACTGTTATATTCTTATGTACTTACATAACTTCAAGTCTAATAAAAACAACAACAAATAATACAATGTTATAGGGTAAAATTTGAAAATCTCCCCTTCTCAAACTAGCTAACTTGTTTGTCATAAGTTATTCAAGTCAAAAAATTTTTAACATTTACTTTTTTAGTTGTAGCTGGACACAATACCTTTATTTTATTTATTTTTATGTGGTGCTGAGGATCGAACCCAGGGCCTTGCATGTGCTAGGCGAGTGCTCTACCTGTGTTCTGAGCCACAATCCCAGCCCTCAAGTCAAAATTTTAAAATTTAATTTGAGGCTTGGGAGATACACATACAACAATTGTGCTGCCTTTAAATATGACCAATACAGAGAAAACAATTCTGTTAATCTTAAAACCATTCCTAGTAATTCAACACACCTGTGCAGCCCTTTACAAAACATTATCAAACATTTGTTTCACTTGATCTTCACAAAAACCGTACCTAGGCTCCCTCAAAACCCTCACCTGAAGTAGGTGATGAACACAGAACTCCCGCTCTGCTATTGCTTACCACCTCTTCATTCCCTTCTTGTGCTCCAAATGACTTTTATACCATAAAACACATGACTGTCAAAAATAGTATTTATTGCACAGTTAAAATGCCAAACACTTCTGCTAGTGCTTTTTGCACATTATTTCATCTAATTCCTCAGTACTAGAAGGAAGTGGTAAGATTAGATTCAATTTGACATATAAGGAAATACAAAGTCAGAAATGTTCAATCACTTGGCTACAACAAAGGGTTAGTAGCAAAATCAGGACTAGAATCCAGGCCCATCCAATGCCAAAGACAGTGTTCCTAACAATGATCCATGGACCAAAGTCAATGTTCCTAACCACATATGGTACTGCCTCCCTTTTTCAAAAGAAGAATCTTCCTGTGTCAATCATGGGTGAAAGTAGTGCTTGCCTAAATCCCCAGCTGTAGGATTCACTCACCGTCAAGCCTTTGGGAATCTTATCTGCCAGCAGAAAGATGATTGCTTTCAAATTCTCTTCGTCAATGCCTTCTGACAGTTCAAAGAGTAGTTTTCTACGAAACACATCCAAAAGGACAAATGAAGCCTTACACTTGCAGAGGATACCATGGTAAATCCAGGGCTTTCACAAATGTTACCTGTCATTTGAATGATCAACACTGGGAGTGGACAATTATGACTCTCCTTTGATACATTCAAAAACAAAAACTCTGAGCCTCTAAGTGACCTATTTAAATTAAGATAACACAGTGAGAAGTAGAGGCAGGCTGGCTGATTCCTGGTGCAGTGCTGTTTCCGTACTAGGAAAGTATAAACCCAGATTCAGCATGCTTTCCCATCTGACTCCATTCTAGAAATTCAGGCTTCATTTACAGGCCCTTGTTAGAGAGGACCTGATGTTGGCCAATATACAGCCCACTACATATTTAAAAAGGCACATTCACACACTAACAGATGCCAGAAGCATCCCTCAGATGTTTAGCTGGCAGAGGGCAGCATGGAGTTCTGGAATTCATCATCCCTCCACTGGGATCAGCTTCAAGGCCAAGGCCTAAAGGGCTGTAATCTCCACAAAACATCCTTTGAAGGTGGCTTCTCCTCAGGTTCTCCTAAGTGGATGCTACAATATCTATAGATAGTTTAAAACACTGTTGTCAAAGGTGTGGCCATGGTGGGCCCCATGCTGGTATTTTACCTTCTTGGCAAAATGTCTGTATGATATTTTATCTTTCTGGGTTTCTGCCAAAAAACGTATAAAAATCTATAACCAGACATGACATATGTGATGTCCCCCAGAGATATATTTCCTTTTTCATTTTGCTTATTTGACTCCAAGCATTCATTATTTCTTTGTTTAAGATCCTTGAATATAAGGAGCATCCCAGGAGGAAGAGCTTCCTGCCCACACAGAGTCTGGGAACCCAGAAAAGCTCAGGACTCGCCACCTGGTGTGGCTTCATGGATAGTGAGCAGCTCAACAAAGGAAAGCCATGTTCAAGCCCAGGGCTGGGTCTGGAAACTTCATAAATCTCCCAACCATCTGAAACTGAGAAGTCTCCCCAAATAGAATCTCCTGGTTTATCCTTTTAGGGGGTAGAGAAGAGAAAGATCTTAATTCCAGCTTTCTTTCAAAGCGCAAAGGCCAGAATGCACCCTCCACAGAAAAACCCTCCAGTCTTTCTCAGACACCTCCTCACCTGAATGGAGACAGCTTCCCTCGGATGGGAAGAAAACATTCCACCTGCTGTTTGGTGTAGTCTAGGTGCCGCAGCAGATAATTCTGCTTGATGGTATAGAGGAGTTCTGCCAGGAAGAAGGTGTCTTTTACACTTATCATCTCCCCTGTCGTGAGATAATCAAAAAGTTGCAAGGCAGAGCTGCACTTATCCATCTTATTCTGGGGGATGAAACCTCTGCAGAGAAACTTTAGGCTTTCTACATCTTGAACCTTCAGTTCCAAATCGATAGCTAGAAGCTTCTCTCGAAATCTCAATTGACAGGTTTCATCTGAACTGGAATCCAGACTTTGATCTTGAGATGTGGCCATCCTGAAAAAGAAAATGGGGAAGGAGGACTCAGAACTGAGTGAGACACGGGGCATGCTGGGTTCTGGATCCGCCCTCAATTCTGGCCTGCTTTGTTCTGGGCGTTTGCCAGGCTCGCTATGATTTCCAGCCTCTTCTGTTTGGGGCATTAGAATTCTTGGAGGTGCCAAAAATTAAAATTATGCTGGGCTACTTCAAAACCCCACAGCCCAGCCTGCCGTATGGATGCACACCTGTAATCCCAGTGACGCAGGAGGCTAATTGTGTAGGATCACAAGTTAAGCGGGAGGCTAATTGTGTAGGATCACAAGTTAGATCCTTGGCACAAAATAAAAAATAAAAAAGTACTGGATGTAGCTCAGGGGTAGACCATTTGTGTAACATGTGTGAGCATCTAGGTTCAATCCCCAGCACCACAGGGGAAAAAAAAAAAAACAGAAAACTCTACTCCAACATTTATAAGTTACTTTCTAGGAGATTTGGAGGGAGTTTTATTGGAACTCCATTTACTCTGTTTTCTCCAGCGGGAGAGAGTTAAGAGTGGGGAAGATACAGCACAATTTCTCAGGCCCGGTAACCTGGTTGGAACTTGTAAGCTTCCCAATTGGCAGAAACGACACTTAAATCTACTTTTTAAGTTGAAGAAACAAAGCAATCTTGGCTTGGTGAACATTTCAGAAAGAACAACCTAAGACAATCAGGTACCCTGAGGGACAGAATCCTTAACTACAGGTTGCTAACGCTAACCAGCCTTTATCTCACAACAAGGAAGCCATCACCCGTTTCTTCCCATCTACCGAGAAGAAACGGGTGGGGTTGTTTTTTTGTTTTTGTTTTTTTTAATAAGAAGTGCTCAAATTAGTGTTGGGAGTTACAAAAAAAAAGTACTTATCTACCTGATCTATTTATAAACTCTAGGATTCTCTACACTGAATTTCATTCTACTCAAAGGAGAAACGCATTGATAAAGATCTTCACTAGAATCTTATTCATTCTATAATATACTGAGGTATGAATTCATTTTGCAGGATTTCAGCTATTTTAGAAACAGGAAAATACTTTCTAAAGGTAGGAAAAAAATTTCAATAACAAAGAGTGTTTATATCAAGGTGATAAAACTTAGATATTATAAATTTTCTTCTGGGCTTCCATCTGAGTTTCTTTAATTTGAATAGATATTACTTTTGATGTCAGAAAAAAAAAAGAAAAAGAAAATAGATGGCATTGTGGTGTGTGCCTGTTGTCTCAACTACTTGTCTTAGCAACATGGCACAGCCCTACCTCAAAAGAGAAGAAGAAGGAGAAGAAAAAGATAAAAGAAAAAGAAAAGCTTTTCTATTTTAATGAAACATGAGTTGGTGTCTGTGCTTCTGGTCGTCCTGAGGTCCACCAACTGGTTGCTTAGAGAACCTTTTGGGGTCTTCCACATCATCTGCCTTGTGTTTTCCTAAGATTCTGACCCCTCGCCTCAGTGAGTCTGACAAACCTGTCTGGACTAGGGTACATCTGCCGGTAACAGGCTATGTTGAAGACTTCCTGGTTTTCAACTAACTTTCATTTTCCCCCTGGTACAGCAAAGACATCGAGGCAGAAATAATGTCGTTGCTGACAATAAGGATTTTTGCAAATTTCTATGGCCTGAACAAAGGAGAAGGTCAAGCCTGAACCTGGAAGCGGGGTGGTGGTGGGGGTTACTCACATATCTTCCGCTCTAAGTTCCACCAAGCCTCTGGAAGGAAAAGGTTCTCTGAAGAATTCCTTAAAATGAAGTTTCAAAGAACCTTGAATCCTTTATGCGCTCTGAGGTCCATTTGTGTAGCAACAGAGAACCCAAAACGTGCTGTCGCAATTGGTGTGGAGAACGGTGACTCTTAACTTCCTGCTTTTGTCATTGCTCCTAGGTTTTTTTCTCTCCCTGTCCCAAACTAAAATAATCTTGACTAATAGCACCTCCTAAAGGCCAATGTACACTTGGTTACTCATCATAGAGCTCAGGAATTCCCCAAGTGGGAAAAGGCAAATGGCTCTGGGATCCAGGAGGTACTCCAGCCATTCCTTTAGATCACAATCCTCCCAAAAGGGAACAAGTCCATTTCCCTACCCATCTCCTTCCCAAACTCACTTCTCCTTTAAAATAAAACCAGAAAGCTCTTGAAACAGTAGTTATCTTAATCTTTCCTTGAGTATGTCCATGTGCAAAAAAATAAAAAATTTAAGTAAATGAAATATTTTAAATAAATGAAATATTTTAAAAGACCAAAAAAAAAAAAAAAGTGAAAACGGGAGACTATAAACCTATTTGGAGTTTCTTGCAAGTGAATTAATTAATAGTAAATGACACTGATAGTATCTGCATTCTCAACGTTTTCGATCCAACAGGAAAAAGAGATTTTGAAGACAGTATTTCTCATAATAAAATAATAGGAAATATTTGCATTGTACCTATCATGTGCCACTCATAGAGTATTGACAAATATTTACTTAATTAATCATCCCAACAACACTCTAAGATTAAAACTATTACTATGGCCTCTGCTTTAAAAACGTGAAGATTAAGGCACAGAAAGGTAAAGTAATTTGCCCAAGGTCACGCAGTGAGCCAGAAAGCAATATTTAAATGGGCACGTTTGACCATACACTGAAATTAATTCAAATGTGCAGAACTATAGAAAGAGGTACAGAAGCTTAGGAAGATGTTTATCTCTGGAAAAAAGCAAGATGTAAGATGCTTTTTCCAGCAAATGTGCTAAAGTGCCGTTCCATACTCTAGACCTCACCCAGAGAGTTTCAGTATTTGACAAAGACAAGTACTGTAGTGATAGTTGATAATGCCACTGAATTGTACATTTAAAATTATTTAAATGAGAAATTTTATGTTATGTGTATTTTACCACTTGGTGGGGGGGTACTGGGGAGTGAACTCAGGGGTATATCCCCAGCCCTTTTTATTATTTTTAAATTTTGAGACAGTGTCTCCTATGTTGCTGAGGCTGACCTCATACTTGAGATTCTCCTGCCTTAGCCTCCTGAGTTGCTGGGATTAGAGGCATTTTCCACCACACCTGGCTTACCCTAATCTTTTTTTTAAAAGATAAAGACAGATAAACCCTAAATCTTAGTCCTCTGATTTGATTAGAAATATTTTGTTCCTTAGGCCATTTGGGGGGGAGGCAATTTTATAAAACTATCATTTCTTTCTCACATTAACTCTTTCAGCTTTATTCAATAATATTAACTATTTTAGCAAGCATTTCCTAAATCTAAAGCATGGAATTCCATTGGAAAGCAAAAGGGAATATTATACAGTGCTGGCCTTCCTTGATAACTATGACACTACCACTTTTTTATCCCATCTCTAATAAACTTTTATTAGCCACTTTCTTCTTTTGTTAGCTTATTATCTACATTCAATAAATGAGGAGACAGAGATTCAGAAAGGCCAACTCTCTTGCCACCATCCCAAAACTGGGAAGAGCTGTTAATTCAGGCCCAAACCCAGGTCTTTCTGACTCCAAATCTTATATTCTTGATCCTTAGGCTACTGCTGGCTGTCACTCCCTATGTCACCACACAGGATCTGTAAGAAGTGGGCAGGGTGTGGTGGTGCTAAAAATGGGGCTTCCCCTCAGTGTCACACAGGCCCAAAGGAGTCTGGGACAAGTCTAAACAAGGATGCCTAGGAGGGAGAGGTATTTGATTTAGGCCTGGAAGGAAGGAAGGTAAAACTTAAGCTTTTCTCTTAGTAATCCTAGTAGTCGCCAATTTACCAAGGGGAGATAGCAGGCCCCGTGGGTATCAAACTTCTCCCCTTTAGAACAAAACCCCCTGGGGCACGCTGCTGAGCTGACAGTAACATGAACAATTCTCAACCTCTGCCTGAAGGACAGTCAAAACCTTTATATCCTTTCATGGTGATGGGTGTCAGCTACTGCTCTGGTGACTAAGGGGAAACGCCTGTTTCTCTTTAGTTCCGCTTTGGGAAGCAGAAATAGTAGACCTGATTGGGTTTTCCTTTACCTCCAAGCTCTGGTCCAAGTTCCCCAACCTCAGAGACTTTATATATGAATGAAGGATTGACACCAGGATAGAGGGGGTGGGTGCTCCAGCTAGAGAATAGCTCAGTGTGCTGAAGGTCCATCCCAGTTCTTGAGAGTCCTCAAAAGGGCCTGGGGTAGCAGGTGCTTTTGATTTGACACCTTCCAACTTCCAAGACTACCTCCTCCACCATGTCATGCTATACCTTTACCCACTCACTCAGAGACCTTCCCAGAACCAGCCTTAGATGGCATATGGGAGTTAAGTGAGATTAAGTTTCGAAGTTTCTGTTAAATTATCTTCCTTCCAGGCCTAAATTAAATATATCTCCCGCCTAGGCATCAGGAGCAAGCGATGAGGCTGGGTAACTTCTTGGGCAGCATAGCACAAACAGCAGCTGCTGATTTTTTTTGCTGAGAAACTTACATAAAGACTGTTTTTAAAATCAGGAGTCCATAGGAATTCAGGACACAGGTGACCTGAAGTCCACAGCCTCTCCATAGAAGGAAAAATGCATGATCAATATTTTGATTGGACTAAAGCCTCCATGGATACCTCATGAACACTGAGTGCCTTATTGGTCAGGGGACTGACTTCCTTAAACCCATCCATCCTTGTGAAGCCAGAATTAGACAGGCAGTCAGTATAGATAGGTAAATCACATCAGGTCAGATTGAGTCAGGCCAATTTTAAGTAACTCTGGGGAAGTTGGAGACTGTCCCCTGAGTGATTGACATGTTAATTCTTTTGTGGTTCTGGGGATTGAACCTAGGGCTTTGTGCATGTGAGGAAAGCATTCTACCAACTGAGCTATATCCCCAGCCCTGAAATGTTAATTCTTTCAGAGCCCTTCCTCCATCCTTAACAAGAACCTGCCCCTGCCCCTACAGGGAACTATAAAGTTGTTAATTAATGTGTTCTGGGCTACACCATCCTGCCCTTCCCCCTTCGGCCCTCCTGTTTCCCAC